AAAAAAAAAAAAAAAAAAAGGCACGTGCCTCTTGTGTTAAGTTGGCTCCAGGATTTAAATGATTGCAAAGCAGGTGGGTTTTTTGTAGATCACCAAGTGTTACTGAGATGCATAAGACCATTCAAGTCCTTTTTTGGCTCTGGTCCAAATTGAAAATGTAAATTTAATAACTGGCTACAGAAATGTGCAAAACAGGCTTATGGACATTAATGTATGTTTAATTTCTTTCCATCTTTTTGTAGGTGTATTTGTCAAGCCTTGCACCAAAAGCTCCGTGTTTTAGTGACTCATCAGTTGCAATACCTCCATGCTGTAAACCAGATTCTAATCCTAAAAGATGTAAGTCATGGCATTGGGCAGCTCCAGACCTTCACCTGTGTCCTACTAACTGTTTATATTCTAAGGAGGGAGGAGTGAAGAATTTAAAGAAAGAGTTATTTTCTGTTAATTATTCTATACTATAAATAAGAGATGAGGGTTTCTAGCAATCTTTCAAGGTTTTTATTTGTTAATGGTGCATGGGCCAAAAATCGTGGGAGTTAAGAAGATTTATGCAATAGACATATAGATGGGAAAATTCAAATGCACCCTTTTCAGGATGTGTACACTGACTATGAACAGCATTAAAAAAAAATTTCAATTTTAGGGTAGAATGGTGGGGAAAGGGACCTATTCCGAGTTTGTGAAATCTGGAATCGACTTTGCTTCCCTTTTGAAAAAAAATGGTGAAGATGAGCAGTTGGCAGTCCCAGGGACCCCCAAATTGAAGTCATCAAGGAATCGTGCTTTTTCTCAGTCCTCAGTCTGGTCAGAGGATTCCTCTGTGCAGTCGCAGAAAGATGGAGCAGTAGAACAGTTGTGTGTGAGTACCCACTATAAGCATTAGGCCACATAGTATTTTTTTTTCAACTTATGCTGTTGGTGTGGTAAGGGTTTGATGTGCTTGAATTTTAGTAATATTAAATTAGGTGCCTTTAGGATGAATGAAGACGAGCGCAGAAAGAGGTCACAAAAGGAGTTTATTTCTTGGTGCTCCACAGCTTACCAAGCAAAAGCATAAAGGGGTGATATACAGACAACTAAATGAAAGCTAAGGTTGCAAAATTAGGCACTCGGCAATTAGGAAATAACACAATTAAGGTTGCCTCTGAGCACTCCTCTTACCCCTCTCCCAACCCTGCAGCCCCCTGGGAAGGATTCAGTAGGGGGGAAGTGGCATGGGAGCCTCTGGAGATTTTTTAAAAAGTCCTGAAAGCTGGTAAGAATCCAACTCTAACCTCTGTGCTCAAAGGCACTTCCCCTTCCATACCTTTTCCCTGTTTGCCTGCCTGCCACTGCTGCTTCCCCTGTTGTTTTGGGGGTGGAGTAAGCTTCAAAGCTGCTCCTGCCAACTACAGCCAGTCTGCACTGGGGGCTGGGCTCAGCTTGGAACAGCAATAGTCGCAGCACTGCGGGGCGAGGATGGGGATTCCCCCTCCTTGGGGATTGGGCAGGGTGGGAGACCACATTCTCCCACCCATCAGTCCTGCTGCTCTCTTTGAGTCCAGCTCTCATGTAATGCAGCTGGAGTGGGCATGAGTGGCTTTGAGGCTTTCCCCAGGCCCAGGAAAGTTGGGAAAGTGGCAGCAGTCTGGGGAGTGGCAGTAGGGGAGGTGACGTGCCTTGAGTACAGGGGGAAAGTGGGGATGTTCCTGTTTTGCTGATTTAAAAAAAAGTCCCCAGAGGCTCCTGAAGTGGCGTCTGTTCACACCAGTGAGTTGTGAGGAAGGAGGCTGGGAACATGAGTGCAGATTACCCCCAAGTGGGGTGCCTACTATCATATCACACCCCGCTTTGCCAAATCCTGCGGCTGACCCAACTTGTACCGCAAATCTTTTTAGACCTTGATTCAGAAAACCGGTCCTATTCATGAGAAATATTTTCAAGCATATTTTCTTTCTGTTTATCAATACCTTCCCAAACCAAGGATGTGGTCTCCCAGACTTCTTTAATACTGGTGATAATGATATATAAAGAGAGAGCACATTTTGGTTCTGGGATGGGAATTATTTTTGCAGCACTGGCAGTTGCAACAATTTTTTTGCTTGTCTGCTGAGACAGTTAACTTGTGGTCATTTGAAACTACCATGAGGCAAACTTGAAACCACCAAGATTGTGTTTTGTGGAGTCAAATTTTTAGAGTGTCTTATATTGTAAAATTGAATTTCTTCTTTTTCTCATCTTTTTAATATCAATTTTAAACTAAAAATATTTTAGTGCAGTCGTTTTAGCTCCATATTTAGGTTTGGTTTTTTTGTGCTTTGGTAATTCTTAACTATGCTGTATCACTGAATTTTATAAATCCATATAACTTTAGCTTTCCTATCCATTATATTCTGTGCAGACTGAACCTGTGCTGACTGCAGTGCCAGAAGAGAGCCGGTTGGAGGGAAAAATAAACTTTAAAACTTACAGGAAATACTTTTCTGCTGGCGCAAACTATTTTATCATTTTTATACTACTGTTTTTAAATGTTTTGGCACAGGTAATTCCATCTCTTGGTACTACAAATAATAAATAATGCGTCTTGTTTTGTCTTTACGGTAGCACTAGCATTTTTATACTTGTCGTTCAGTTGAAGGCTGTGTTCTTATGTTTCAGCAGAAAGGATTTTGGTCTATGATGCTGTCTTACAATTTTTATGGTTTATTGGGATGTGGTTAAATTAGTTCAAATTTTGTTTCATAGTGGGACATTTAGTTAGTAGCCCGTTGTTCAAAAGACCCAGTGCTTCAAGTAATTTTGTGCTGGTTAAATTTGTCTGATTGTGTTATTCAAACAAATTTTATCCCATTACAGTTTTCAGAGATGCATACTACAGCTACCCAGAGTTATCTAAAAATAAGCTATACAGCACATTTTAAGAGGTAGCAGTTAGGAAGAAAATGCTTTTTATGGTAAAGGAAGGTTGCTTTGGTATGCTAACACTGCAGAGGAAAGAGATTCTCCAGCCCCAGGCAGTAGTTTATGACAGTGGTCAGCAACCTTCTTAGGCTGTGGCTTGGAATGACCCAACTTGGGTCAGAGGCAGGCAGATAGGTGGAAAGACCCAGTGGCTGCCACCATTTCTCCCACTGCTGAAGCCCCATGTCTGCAAGCCAGATCAAGTGGCCCAACAGGCAAAATCTGGCCTGCGGTCTGTAAATTGCCGACCCCTGGGTTATAGAAAGAGGCAGAGGTGATTATTTAGTTGGTGGGGACAGTGTAACTAGTGATGTTTGTACACTGGAAAGAGATTAGGGTGGTAGGTAGTGCTGTGCCAAGTACTTGAAAGCAGTGGGGGTGAGAAGAAGGTGCAAGTGTGGACAATCATGGAAGGGTCTTACCTGGCAGCAGATGCTGCCTCACAAGGGCTGAGACTGAGATTGGGATTGGGATCAGGGCTGGGGCAAGGTTCAAGGCCAGCTTCTTGCATAATGCCTTGCTGGGTCCATGCCTGGGGTTGATTCTGTGCACTGTCTGGCTGCAGCTGCTGGGGGTACAGACTGGCACTGCCTCCAAATTGGCATCCATGGTTGGTGCTCCCTGTTGCTACATCCTAGTTACACTACTGGATGGGGACAGTAGAACAAAATAATGTGTGAGGAAGTGGCTGTAGCAAATTCATGAAGTTTTAAACAAGCAGGACCACTTTGAATGTTTCTTGGGGAAAAAAAGAATCACTAAAGCTGTTAGTATAAGGAATATGACTATATTTCTTTGTCTTGATGGGAACGCTTAAAGTAGTTTCATGGAAATAATTGGTCTTGGTTGGAAAGATAATTTTAAAAAATGCACCAGTTACTACTTTTCTTCAATTAAGTTTCTATGTTTGGAAAGATGGTAATTTATGATCAGATTTTTCTGAGGTAGACCTACAGTATTTACTGTACATCTGCGGTATGTGTGTGCATACATGCATGAGCGTAATGTACCCATTTTAATTTAAGTGAACAGAGGCACAATTTAAGATTAATAAGCACTAGTCCTTAGTTTATTAGTTTATCCTTATCTCTTGGCAAGAAGGAAAGGGAAGGGAAGCACAAATCCTTTGACTATGTGTTTCTAATTTAATTATCTCCCTCCAAAATAAATACACTTATAGACAGGTGACATCAGGGGTTGGCTCTTCTGCTGGGAACAAATGAGCCAAGCAAGATTCCTTTTGGGACATAGGAGAAAATGTACTAATTGAGAAACCTAATCTTTGGTGTTTGACGTAGGAGGAAAATTAGGAATTGATAAACCTAACCATTTGATGTTCAATTTAAAATGTATTGGAGAGTGGCCAGAGAGTTTGGTCAACAGTATTGCTTTCCCTTTTTTTCACCATCAAGTAGTTCACAGAGCAGGGTAATTTTTGTTTTCTAAAGACAGATGATTACACCTCTTTCAAGGTGTTTTGCACTTGGAGAATCGGAGGCGGTACTTTCCCTTGGATGCCTCCCATCTGATTTTTTTCTAGATATGCAGTGACACATTGTATTAACTGATGATGAGAAAGGGCCCACCTTCTAGTATAGTACTCTAGGAAGGAACTGTGTTGTGTGTATTTTTGTTTGTGGGTTTGTTTTTGTTTGCTTATTTAATGAGATTTTATCAGAGGACAAAAAAAAACAATTCAGAAAGCTTACCTTTTGAGTACTTCTTACTGTATGTATATTAATTTGACTTTGCTTGTTTAAGGTTGCTTATGTGCTCCAGGACTGGTGGCTTTCCTACTGGTGAGTTCTGCCTTTTGCACAGAAGTGTTGTACAATCAACGGAAATCTAGTAGTGAGTGGAGGGAGGGCGTGAAGTCTGTTCTAAGGAAAACTTAAAGCTCATTCAGTCATCCTTGTCTTCTAAACCTCACTTATTTTACCTATTGAAACAATGTAAAGTTCTTACAGTATAGTGTGACCAGAAGTCTTCACCCATGTGTGACTCATGACAGCATGAACATAGGCATATATTTAGACCTGCAAATCTCAAGTTGATTTGAAAAAGCAGTAAATTGTTTGTTTGCATATTAATAAAAGGTACACAGCTTAGTTAAGGCCTTGCTTATGCAATATTTCTTTTATATTGTTTATTCCTTTTTTTTTTTGCATATATTTCTACAGGTCAAATCAGCAAAAAAATCTGAATGTCACAACAAATGGAAATGGAGGAGTAAATGAGACTACGCATCTAGATCTAACCTTGTATTTAGGCATTTATGCAGGTAAAATATATATTTGAATTATTTGCAACGTTATAGTATAGGATTTTGAAAGTATCTGCTAAGCAGTAGTGTAGGAAAATAGGATTTCAACAGTGATTCAGTAATGTCTTAACAGATTAGCATACTGAGACTTGTTTCCTGACTAAATTAATTGTAATAATTAAAAAAAAGAAAAAATCTAGCAGAAGAAATAGGTTGAATGGAGATTCTTAATTTGCTCTGTCTGGATTTTGGAAGCTAAACTAAGAATTGAGTATTCAAAAAATCAGTCACTGTAAACTTGTGGTTATTGTCTATACTAATATGTTCCGCTAAATCTTCAATCATTATATGGATGGGCAAGAGGGATTAGACATTGATCCTCATCCTGAAACTCAGTATTCCAGTTTTTGTTTCTATAAAATGCTGGCTTTTTAAGACTCATCATGGATATTCTTCTTTGGTTCCTTTGCTATTGTACTTCAGTGGTAGGGGGAAAAAAAAAGATTTTTTTAATATATTTCAATGGGCTTTAGATATCTAAATAGTAAGTGGGGTTTCCAAAAAAATATCTATCTACATATCTTCTAAAGATCTGATCAGTAGTATTAGAGTTTGCATACCATTCCATAATGTAAAGATTATATGTTTTAATTAGTCAGAAAGGGGAATAAACATGTAAAGTCAAGCATGCCAAAAGAAGTTGCCCCTAAATATGAATTAGTTATTACTTGCTTCAGTTTATTTTGGTGCACAACATTTTGAATACCCTACACTCCCTTTTATGACAGGAAACACTCTTTTATATTGTGATCCTGAGGGACACCAAGGAAACAAGCAAACAAAATGTATTCTGGTACACTTCTGTCTTTTTATCTAATCTAGATGCACTTAAAACACAGTCCCTATCCAGATTACATCACTCTTTCTCTATTTGGTAGGTCATTTTGTGATATATAGGACTGTAGGCTTCCATATAGGACTGTAGAGTATGGCTAAGGGTAAGAAAATCAACATTTTTATGATTGTACAACTGTAGATTATTTTTACAAACGAACAGATTTTTATACAAGCTTTGTTTAAAGTGACCAAACAGTATAGATAAATTATGATATTGAAATTTTAAGAAAGCTCCAAGATGGAGTTAATGAACAGAAAATAAGTTGATCCAGTGTTCTTTATAGGAATCAAGTCTAAATAAACTTGAAAATCAATTGTGAAAATACATATTTTTATGGGATAATATGCTCTATATGTTTTAACACTTTTCCAAGAGTGTCCAGTGTTCTGTTTCAGGTACCAGGTAATTGAAAATTGTATACTACTTTCTTTCTAATCCTTTTGGTTGTATAAAACAAAGATTAAAAAAATATTGTAAGAATGTAGAACCCTAAGCTAGCAGAAACTCACCCACAAACAGTATAGTACATCTGACTGACCTAACTTACAAATGGATGCCATTTAAAAGCTCGCTGTTTCTTATTTTTGCCATATGCTGATATTTGAAAAAAGTTGGTTTCCCCGATTCTTAGAATGAGAAATAATTGGGGACTAATGTACAGTATTATATTTAAGTGTGGTGTCTGATGAATAAGAGCAGATATGCAGGGATATTATACAAGGCTAACTAACAACTTTTTCTGTTTTAATAAAATAATTTATTACCATTAACAACAGCAAAATAGAAATTTTCTTTCAAATGACAATGTGAGGGTAATTCAAGGTATTAGCAAGTTTATAGTAACTGATCATATTATATTCATCTGGAATCCTGTCTTCATCTTGAGTTCTTTCTCTTTATGCAAATTATTTTGAACCCAGCAGTGAACAAAATATATATAACTTTGTCTTAACTAAATTGTTCTTTTCAACTCTTTTATATGAGATTATTTTTTTCATGTTTAGGTTTAACAGTGGTTACAATACTGTTTGGCATAATAAGAAGTCTTTTGGTATTTCAAGTTCTCGTTAATGCTGGCCAGATTTTGCACAACAAAATGTTTCAGTCAATTTTGGAAGCTCCAGTGTTGTTTTTCGACAGGAACCCTATTGGTAAGCTGAATATTTTAAAATTATCATATAATATACATTGACAATTATGATAAGTAATGTAAAAGAAAAATTAGGCAAATATATGGTAATCCAAATTAATTCACCTAATTCTGCTTTTGCACTTGCAGACAAACTACTACATTGGTACTGCATACTAACTTACCAGTTGAGCTATTAATTACATGATTTAGCTGCATGAGTTTGCTAGCACTGGGACAACAAATATATTTGCATTTTATGGGGCACCTGTTATGTTTGTATTTTTTTTAATTTTTGGAAACTAGTTCTAATAAGTATTGGAGAAGTCCAAGACTTATTAGATATATAGGTATCTCTATCTATCTCTTTAATAATTTGGTTTAAAATATGCTATGGTAATGCATGATTGTAAAAATGGCAATTTAGCCTTTTTTAAGAACAATTCATTCATTCACTCAGAGTTGATAGAAAACCCAAACTACACAAGTTAAAAGTTATCATCTGAAATAATGAAGAGAAAAGTGTTTGGATTCCAAGTAGACCTGATCAGTTTGTGTGAAATTAGATAATGAGACTTGAGGAGGGGGAGCAAGAAAAGAATAGATGGTTAAGGCAGTGGAAGGAAAGGAAATAAGAAATTGAAATGTAGTGAGGAGGGATGAAGAAATAGAATGCCAACTAGGTAGTCACTGGTTTATGGGAAATGGAAGGGTGATGGCCTTTCTACCTTTAATTATCTCAAAAAGAAAAATGAGTAGACTTGTTCTTACAATTCATAAAGTTGTTTCCTAATGAAAAAATCTAACAGGGATACATATTTTTATACATTCATAGAATGTCTTTCTCCTTCCAGAAGAGTTTTGTGTAAAGAATCAGTTCAAGTCAGATCATGATAGTGTATATGCACATAGTTCCCTTTCTTTAAACATACCATTGTGCATGCCTAAACTTGTATTGTTTGTGGGCTATTATTATGTGTATGCAGTAGCTTAGGTTTGAAGATCACAGGAATGGTTGGAAAGGAAAATGTAAGCTCAGCTATAGGGTGGTGACCAGAGAGTGGATCTCTGTGGGGCAGCATCTCTGTTCCTGTAATACCTGTCTAGAATTGGTGATGAGCAATGACAGGACTGACCACCATATGTCAGGGTAGGCAATATTTAATCTGGAGGGCTGCTAAATGAGTTTTGGTGAGCTATTGAGGGCTGCAAGGGTAGCCTCGCCCCTTGACAGGTGCCCTGCCCCTGATTGACATTTTGGGATTGGAAGTCCCACTCCTAACCCCTGACCTTGGCCACTGGAAGTCCCTCCCCTTGTTGCCACTGGCCCTCCCTTCCCCACCCCAAGTTCTCCTTTTGGAAGGGGTAGGGGTGCAATCTTGGAACCGAAAAAACGGAATCGTATACTAAAAATTGAACATCTACTCTGAAATATTTAAATTTTATTTAAAAAAATATTTTGTCCTGATTTGTGTGTTTGCATAGTGTATGCAGAGGTGATTGTGTTATAGTATACAAGAGTAAGATTTTATTTTGAGCTGTGTGGGGGGTGTAGTTGGGGTATTTGTGTGTGGGGTGGGAGGGTGAGTTGGTGGGGGAGTTTTGTGGGGTATGGTTGTGTATAGGAGTCCCCTCACATGCCCCCCCCATGGTACACAGCCCCTGTGACCAACGGCAGCAGCATAAGCAGCAGGTAGTGGGCCTTTGAGACAATCGGGACCTGTGGCAGGTAGAGCCCTCTGGTGTGAGGCTCTGGCCAAGTCCTGGGAGCTGCACATGAGCCGTGGGGAGCCGGCTGCTGGTGACCTGGGCTCCATGCTCCCACTGACCTGCCGTGGCCCTGTGAGACCCAGCCCTGGCGCGGGCCCTGTGCTCCTGCCCATCTGCAGCTTTCCTTCTTCCCATTGCTGCTTCCTTACCTGCTTCCCAGAGTGCTGCAGTAGGAACAGGGGCAGGTGCTGCCAGAGGCTGGGGAAGGAAAGCAGTGGCAGCAGCAGCCCTGCCTGGAAGCTGTGTGTGTTGGTTGGGGCCAGGGCTGCGGCCCTCCTTCAGTCAAGGGTGGTAGCACAGTGCACTGTCCTGGCGTGGGTGAGTGGGGCTCAGCCCCATGTGGTGTACAGCAGGGGCAGCTGTGGGTCTGGCCAGATGTAATAAATTTGTGGGCCCCTGCCCATGGGCTGGATGAAATCACCTGGCAGGCCAGATCTAGCCCCTGGGCCATATTTTGGCCACCTCTCCCATATGTGCATTCCCTTCCCACCTCCCCCCTCATTTGAAGTATATAGAACATAGGGGGAGGTGTAGTAATGTCAACACTCTTTTAGTGTATAAGTATATTTCGTTTGTTACCTCACAGCAAAGATGCGTTTGAGCTATACTATTAGATTTTGAATTGGAGTATGGTTTGCCCAAGCTAATAAATATCTCTATTTATTGATAGCAATTCCTTTAAAGAAATGTAGCACACAATCATTGCAAATGTGATTCTCTTATTAGGTGTCTACCCAACTTAAGTACTCAGTTGGTCAATTTCACAGGCAGATCAGGGGGCTGGCCATAATTTTTGTGGGCTTATCATGGTGGGCCCCCCCCCCCAACTCTGGCTGAGGGGCCCTGGTGGCCTGTCTCCCACCATTGATTGGTGGAGATGGCTGTCCATCATATAGCCCCGCCTCTCACTTCTGATTGGCTGAGGGCTGTCCATCCTGTGGCTCTGCACCTTGCTGCTGATTGGTGGAGAGGAGCAGGAGCAGCAACCATCTTGTCTGCTTACCTTCCCCCAGGAGACTGCATGGCTGGGGAGGACTCTTGGCTCCCACTGGGGAGTCAGCATTTTAGTAAGTTTTTATTTCCTGTGGATTTCACAGAGACTGACCAATTTTGGCGCTTTCCACAAAATCGCAATTTGAGTAGGTCCCTATTTTATATAACATTTATATTACCATTTTATGCACTAGTAAAGATGAAACTGTACCTGCACATAAGTTAAGAAATTCATTTTGATGTTCCTGCAGTCTTAGCAGCCTTCTTACTTCTCTGTCCTGCATCAGGATCTTATGTTACATGATCTCTCAAAACATAAGCAACAATGCTAAATGTCAAGGCTGAGCTGTTTATAATAGACTCCTAAAATCCACTAAGCCTAATTTTTCAAAAGTGCCTAACACTGGAAATTTCCTGCCAGGGAAACAGGTTTATAAGGAGAATCACTGAGAAATAGGTTTTGAGAATCAGGATGTCTGTTAACTCCCAAGGGCACAGATCAAGTCAGCTATGATGAACAATGGAAATAATTACTGTTCTAAATTCTGTGTTTCACTAGTTGGCTTTGGTTGGAGAGACAGGATCCTGTTTGACTTGCTGAGAGATCTCTTAATAGTACTCTGGCAATTCCAGAAGAATGAAAATGAGTTTTGGTGTAGGAGAATCTGCGACAAAATTGAGACTGGTTAAAGGAATCTAGAAGCATTTGTAGAATTGTGATATTCTAGAAAATAAAAGAAACAATATAAATTATTTTGTGAATGGTGGTTTTAAGTGATCAGATTTCATGCTTTATTTAGTATAATACACAAGTAAAAATTTAAAATTCGGATTCATTCTTTAAGTGAAACTTTATCTGAATTTCTGAGTTTCTGAAACATTTGAATGTGACAGATGAACAATTTTCTTGTGTCAGCTGCTTCATGATAACTGTTTCATGCATCCATTCTATCTCACAAAAAGTGGAAGGTAAATGTGGCAGTTTACCTATGAATGAAACAACAGCTAAATTACGGAAGTTTTGTTTCCACCTACCACAGGATAGAAAAGACACACAGGGCAGTTAAAGCAAAACAACTTGATGCATGGTGATTACCCCCTCACTTTTAACTGTATTCCTGAAGACCTAATAAACTCTGGATCTTAAATATCTAAAGTTTAAAAATATATATATTTCTGTCCTATACTAAGAAGCAGATTGAAAGTTACATGATTAAAAGTCAGTTTTAGGTACGGATCCCAACATAATCTTAATTATGGATTCATAATGATGATTGGTGTGATGTGATGAATCATATCATTGGGTTTCAGGGATTATCTATATTTGTTAATAGAATTTACATTCTTTTTGGGAATGTACAAGTTGTCCTTTTCTTTTCAAACTTGCCTCTGCTTCTTCATCCAAATTGCAGTATGGGAGCCACATGCATGTCAAGTTATCTGTTAGGAGAAAAATATGGACATTTTCCACTTCATAGTGAATGCTTCATATGTTCCACTTCATCTGTTCACTCACATGAATAAAGGCTATTTTTGCAAGTCTAGCACAAGAGGGCAGCATGATCTATTTAATCATGCTGCAGTATTACAACAATATATCAGAAAAAATAACAGATTTATCTGGTTTGGTTTTAGAGACAATTTTTTGGATTTAATTTTCAACCTATATATTGAGCAGTAATAATATGATGCTGTAGTATTATCTTCCTTGCAATATTTTCTATATCTTAATTTTTGTTGTAAGTTTTCTGTCTGCCTACTAAGAGAGATGGTGTTTTGGAACTTGGGTGGCTTTATAACTAGGTGACCTTATGGAGTTTATTTTTGTTTTGGCCTCCTGTTGGGAGGATTCAGGTTTTCATCTGTTTCTCTTTCTAGATGTCTGAAAAGTGCCATTTATCATCAGTTTGACTAGGTTCTGGGTTAATGGGACCTCAGTAAGAATGATTGCTTAAATGGGAGTTCCTACTTTGAAACTAGTTCTTTATTGTTTATCTGACAGATCCCAGTTTTGGCCGACTGCAGGATTAGACACGAGTTTCTTATTTTCTTAGTTTTTAAATAATTCTGTTTCTCAGATTTTGGGAGCAGAAATCTTGTCACTTAGGGAAGAGATTCTAGTACTTGTTGGCATTGTTCAATAAAGTGTAGTTTTAGTGGGTTGCATATGTAATTTTTTCTGTTAGATGTAGGAAGCCAAACCATGCTAATAAGTGCTATAGGATCGATGAATAATACAAGTGAGTTTGTTCTGATGAA